GAAGCCTAGACTTTACCTGTGAAGAGTACATGGGGTCTGGCCTGCCAATAAACAGGGCAGAGAGAGCTCTGCACTGGTGGCTGCTGGCTCGCTACATTTCCCAATCCAAGCAGAAAGAATACCCCAGCCTCACCCACTCCACATCACAGCTTGGCACTAGATCTGGGGCAGACACGTCCTGGGAGAAGACTCGATCTAGGGACACAGAGATGGCCTAGTGGCCTGGGTTGTGGTCCAGCTGGAGTGGTGGCCATTGTTAGCACTTACTCCTGCAATGCCTGGGAACCACCGCGACCAACATGATGAGGTCCCTTTCACAGACACATGAGTGTACCAGCTCCACCCACTCCATGCCAGAACTTGGCACTGGATCTTGGGCAGACAGGTCCTAGGAGAAGACTGCCACAGAGGCAGCCCAGATCTCTGGTGGCAGCATAGTCGCCTCATTTCCTACAGCCACTATGTCCCGGCCCCAGCCCCAGCCTAGTGAGTGCTTGGCCTGCCTACTCCACACCACAGCCTTGCACTAGATCAGGGATAACCACAACAGGGTTAGGGATGTGACTTTAGGTTGTGTCTGAGTGGAGCCACAGACACCTACTCAGGTGGTGCATCAGACCTCTGTGAGTTCACAAGCCAAACACTCAAGGGGAATGAAGCCTGATCAATCCAGAGCCTCAGTGCTTCTGCTCCAAAAACTGGTGAGCAGACCCTACCACTGACAGGGTGGCGACAGCCACAGAGCAGACAGGAAGTCCTGCTTCATACCCTGCACAGGCTCTAGATCCTCCAACACCAACCACAACCCCTAACAAGGTGATAACAGTCAGCACACCCTAAGGGAAGAGCTGGCTGGCATCCATATCAAAACCAGCCTTTGCACCAAAGACACTGGTTTGTGTCTTTGAAGGATATGCACAGTCTGCACAGGGATGCTCCAACATGAAAGCACCCCTACAAGACCACAATAGATAACCATTTCTCCCTAGTTCACAGAGAAAGAGAAAGTTAAGTCAAATGAAAAGGCAGAGGAAATTCTCCCAATTAAAAGAGCAAGAGAAAGCCCCTGAAAAAACTAAATAATGAAACATATAATCAGTCTACCAGACACTGAGTTCAAAGAGTTATTAATAAAAATGCTGACTGGATTAAGAAAGAGAACTGATCTAAACACAGATTGTTTCAACAAGGAACTAGAAACTATAAAGACCCAGCTGAAAACAGGTAATTGAATTTCTGAGACAATTTCTGAGACAAAAGCACTCTAGGAATAATGAATAGCCATCTTAATGACACAAGAAATAATCTGGAAGATAAAATAAATCACCCAATCAGAACAACAGACAGAAAAACAAATAAAAAAAAAAAAGAAAGCAACATATGAGATCAATGGGATAATATAAAGTGTGCCAATCTATGTATAATAGGGGTTCCAGAAGGTGAAGAGAGAGAGGGGATTGAAAATGTATTTAAAGAAATTATGGCTGAAATATCCCCAAACCTAAAGAAGGAAACAGGTATCTAGGTATAGGAATCACAGAGAGTCCCCAACAAGAGGAACTCAAACAGACCTACAGTAAGACATAATTAAAATAGCAAAAGTAAAAGAGAGAATTCAAAAAGCAGCAAGGGAAAATCAAAGAATCATTTACAAGGGAACACCCATGAAACTATCAACTGATAGAGGACCCAGAAAAACAAAACACACAATGAAAGAGGGGAAATTGCACTACCACAGAGATTAAAAAAAAAACAAAAACAAAAGAGAATACTGTGAACAATTATGTGCCAACAAACTGGACAACCTAGCAAAAATGGACAAATTTCTACACATACAGCTTGCCAAGAATAAGTCAAGAAGAAACAATTTAGGGGCTTCCCTGGTGGCACAGTGGTTGAGAGTCCGCCTGCCGATGCGGGGGACATGGATTTGTGCCCCGGCCCGGGAAGATCCCACATGCCACGGAGCGGCTGGGCCCGTGAGCCATGGACGCTGAGCCTGCGCGTCCGGAGCCTGCGCGTCGGGAGCCTGCGCGTCCGGAGCCTGTGCTCCACGATGGGAGAGGCCGCAGCAGTGAGAGGCCCACGTACCACAAAGAAAAAAAGAAAAAGAAGAAACAATTTAAACAGACCAATCACTAGAAGCAAAACAGAATCTGTAATTTAAAAAATTCCTCGCAGGCTTCCCTGATGGCGTAGTGGTTGAGAGTCTGCCTGCCGATGCAGGGGACACGGGTTCGTGCCCCGGTCCGGGAAGATCCCACATGCCGCGGAGTGGCTGGGCCCGTGAGCCATGGCTGCTAAGCCTGCGCGTCCAGAGCCTGTGCTCCGCAACGGGAGAGGCCACAACAGTGAGGCCCGCGTACCGCAAAAAAAAAAATAAAAAATAAAAATTCCTCGCAAACAAAAGATCAGGACTCAATGGCTTCAATGGGGAATTCTACCAAACAAACAAAAAAAGAACTTATTCTTCTCAAAGTATTCCAAAAAACTGAAGAAGAGGGAAAACTCCCAAATTCACTCTACAAGGCCACCATTACCCTGATACAAAACCAGACAAAGACACTACAAAAAAAGAAAATTATTACAGGCCAATATCTTTGATGAATATAGAGGCAAAAATCCTCAACAAAAGATTAGCAAACTGAATCCAACAATACTTAAAGAGGATCATATACCATGATCAAGTTGGATTTATTCCAGTGTCACATGCATGGTTCAACATACACAAATCAATCAATGTGATACACCATATCAACAAAAGGAAACACAAAAACTACATGTATTCTCAATAGATGCAGAAAAAGCATTTGACAGAATTCAACAACCATTCATGGTAAAAACTCTTGTCAAAGTGGGTATACAGGGAACATATTTCAACACAATAAAGACCATTTATGACAAACCCACAGGTAACATAATATTCAATGGTTAAAAGCTGAAAGCCTTCCCACTAAATTCAGGAACAAGACAAGGATGCCTTGTCTTTCGCTGCTTTTATTTAACATAGTATTGGAAGTCCTAGACACAGCAATAGGACAAGAAGAAGAAATAAAAGGTATCCAAATTGAAAGGGAAGAGGTCAAACTGTCACTATTTGCAGATGACATGATACTCTATGTAGAGAACCATAAAGTCTCACACAAAACCCATTAGAACCAATAAATGAATTCAGCAAAGTTGTAGAATACAAGATTAAGATACAGAAATCTATTGCTTTTCTATTCCCAAGTAATAAAATATCAGAAAGTGAATGTAAAAAAAAATCCTATTTAAAATCACATAAAAACAAAACAAAACAAAAAACTTAGGAAGAAACTTAATGAAGGAGGTGAAAGATTTATACACTGAAAACTATAAAACACTGATACAGGAAATTGAAGATGATTCAATGAAATGAAAAGATAACCTGTGCTCTTGAGTTGGAAGAATTAATATTGTTAAAATGGCCATACTACCCAAAGCAACCTACAAATTTAATGTGATCCCTATCAAATTGCCCATGAAATTTTTCACAGAACTAGAATAAATAATCCTAAAATTTATAGGGATAGGGAGGGTGGGAGGGAGACACAAGAGGGAGGGCATATGGGGATATATGTATACATATAGCTGATTCACTTTGTTATACAGCAGAAACTAACACACCATTGTAAAGCAATTATACTCCAATAAAGATGTTAAAAAAAAATTTATAGGAACCATAAGAGATCCAGAATTGCCAAAGCAATCCTGACGACAAAGAACAAAGCAGTAGGTACAACACTCCCAGACTTCAGACAATACTACAAAGCTACAGTAATCAAAATAGCATGGTTTTGGCACAAAAACAGACACCCACATTAATGGAACAGACTAGAGAGACCAGGAATAAACCCACCCAGCTGTGGTCAACTAATCTATGACAAAGTAAGCAAGAATATACATGGAGAAAAGATAATCTCCTCAATAAGTGGTGCTGGGAGAACTGGACAGACACATGTAAAACAATAAGGTTAGAACATTCCCTCACACCATATACAAAAATAAACTCAAAATAGCTTGAAGACCTAAATGTAAGATATAACATCATAAAACACATAGAAGAGAACATATGTGAAACAGTCTTTGACATAAATGGTAGCAATATTTTCTTAATTAGCCTCCCAAGGCAAAAGAAATAAAGGAAAAAATAAACAAATGGGACCTAATTAAACTTAAGTTTTTACACAGCAAAGGAAACCATCAATGAAACAAAAAGACAACCTACAGAATGGGAGAAAATTCCATTTACAATGGAAGGAACCCAAGCATCAACAGATGACTGGCATAAGAAGATGCGGTATATATACAATGGAATATTACTCAGCCATAATAAATGAAATATTGCCATTTGCAGCAATGTGGATGGACCTAGAGAATATTATGCTTAGTAAAGTAAGTCATACAGAGAAAAACAAATACTATATGACAGCACTTATATGTGGAATCTAAAAATACAAATGAATGTATATACAAAACAGAAACAGGCTTACAGACATAGAAAACAAACTTATGATTATCAAAGAGTGTGCAGGGGGAGAGAATTAGGAGTATGTGATTAACAGATACAAACTACTATACATAAAATAGATAAGCAACAAAGATTTACTGTGTAACACAAGGAATTATACCCAATATCTTATAATAACCTATGATGAAATATAATCTGCAAAAAAATGGATTCACTAAACTGTACACCTGAAACTAACATAATATTATAAATTAACTATACTTCAATTAAAAAAAATAAAATAAAGTGAGATATTGAATAAAATGCCCAGCAATATGCCTGATACATAGACAGGCAAGCAGCTGCCCAGTGAAGGTCAGGTCTAGCTGATGACAAGAGATAATTTCAGTTTATATAACAGAAATACCCATTCTAATAAAATAATTATAAAGTATCTAAAAAATTATGTTTTTTGGACACTGCAGAATATGTGCACTATTATTTCTGTAAGTGATTAAGCAATACTTACAGCAGAAGTAGAGAGTCCAAGTATTTTTGAAGCACAAATTGTCTTCAGGAATTTAGGTCTACTGCCAAGGGTGCACAGTCTCGCCCGGGCCAAAAACATGCTACAGGACAAAAGAAAAAATTTTAAAGGGAGTAAATATATACTTATATCACTATTAAACATTTATAGCTAGGTGATAGACCATAAACTTGTATAAAATAAAAATAACATTTATTGATAGCTGAGTTTTCTTTCTATGATATAATCTCTCATCACTGGAATCATTCTAATAGAATCCTCCTTATACAAATTTATGCATGTGTCGTTTTAAAGTAGAGATCTGTAAGGATATGGTGAATTTAAAAAACAAAGTTCTAATTTAGTCAAGAGCATTAAACTACAGGAAGTAAAAGTTCCATTCCTAGTAGGCATAAAATCCAGAATATTTCAGTCTAAGAACTACTTAAATTTCAGAATCGTCTGGAGAAGTCACTAGTAAAAATGCAATTTGTAACAGTAAATTAAAGTTGTTAGAAACAGGTTATTTAGAAAGTTGTTTGAAAAGGATTATAGTAGGTCCTTGATAAATATGAAGAATATACGAATGAATCTTCCCTTATTTTCTCAGGCGGTACTGCCTTCAACAATTCCAGAAGATAGCTAGGTAGCTGGAAATCTATTGAAATGGCTTGCTAAGAGGCATGAATCTAGATTACTTCTCTACTTGTAAGGAAATCATTATCAATCATGGGTCAAAGTAGGGAGATCAAAGCAAAATGGAATTCTTATTATACTGCCATTTAGAAGTGAAAGCATTCAGGAAAGCAGAAACTTCCCATAAGGTTTTACTCTGACAATGTTCTATCAGTGGATGGCATTTCCTTCATCTCTAATAATCAAACTTTTAGAAAAAAAGACACACTTTATTGATTCAAAGGGACCACTGAAACTATCAATAGCTATGAATCTCTTTAAGTTACCAAAATGTGAAGGCTACAGATGTGAAAAATAATATATTGGATGTTTCTTAAAAAGTGAAATGGAAATTCCTTACCTTGTCAATAAAATTCAGCTTAAATGACAGCCTCTTAGCCATTCTACATCACATCAGCTTAGGTTAATTCTCTGCAAAGCACTTTCTGTTTGTTTGGCTGACCACTCACTCATTCATTTGATAATTTAATGTAAGCGCCATGAACAGGGGGTCCTGGTGCGTTTAGTTCACCACTGTCTTCTCTGGCACATAGGAGGCACGTGATAAATAAATGTGTCAAATGACTGAATGAATACATAAAATCACATTATAAATTAATGATTTAAGTGAACTATTTATAATGAGTCCTTTTACGAAATATTGATTCCTTTGTAAAGTAAATAATTACCCCTTATGTTTTACGTCTTTCAAGTCAAAGAGCAGGTTTTCTTAAATCAAGAAATGCCTATTCTTTGGTCATTAATAGTTCTGTTCAGGAATAAAATATTAATTGGATTAGGCAGTAGGGCTAGTTCTGAGGAAAGGTATTACCAAACAACAGTGACTATGTTGAACAATCTTCATTCAGTATCATAGAGTTATTTGATTTAGGACAATATATTTTTCAGAAAAAAAATGCCCATTTATTTAAATTCAACCTAATTTATTTGTTATTAAGGAAAGTATAAGTAAAATTCTTTCTTGCAAGTAGAAAAGTGAGAGAAACCTCTTCTACCTTCTTCAGATAAATGGGGTTGGGGAGCTGGGAGGGGAGCAAACAGGACTAGGAGTCAGGATACCTGGATTCTAACCCTTATTTTTGATATTAAAAAAAGGTTTCTATCCTGGGACAATTCCCTGACCTTTGGTGGGCCTTAGTTTCCCCATACTTCAAAACAGATGAATAAATGAATCCTTGGTTTCAAGGTAATCTCAGAAAGTACTGTACGTCAGTGGCTGGTTGTGTGTGACCTCAGGCTGCAGGTCTTGGGAGATTCCCCCCAGGTTGGGTGAGCCACACCCTCTGGCCACCACACCTCAATACCCATTCCCCTTTGGAAATTGACACTAAATCTACCTGTTTTCATCTGGAAATCCCAAAGCCTGATTCCCACCTCTTCTTCCCTGTTTTCTGCAGCACATTACCACCATAATGCAAAGTATTGCCTGGAAACTGACCCAGCCCTTCATTTCTCTTCCACTTTCCAAACTTTCTACTGTGTCTTTCGGAACGGCTGCACCATTCTCAGCGAATCCCATTACATCTTTATGGTTTCAGAGTGTTCCTTGTACCTCCTAGCTTGAACTGAAACCTTATTGCTCCCTGAAGATACCACTCCTATATGCCTCAGTGTCAGCTTTTGCTTGTATATGCCTCACTTATCTCTTTCTTACCGTCTATTTTACCATTACCAGACTACTACTTCCGTCATCTGCTTCAATGATATTATCTTCTGGCCTGCTGATAACTCCTTGTCATTCATTAGAGATTTTGTCATTAGGCACACAGTTTTCTTCTCAACTCTAAGTACTGTGATCATCCCAGGTAATTCCCATGTCTTCAGAGATGGTCCATCCAACAACTGACATCCCTGTGCCCATCACTATTCTCTTCCATCCCACCCTAGGCACTCTCTCCTATAGTCACACCCTGCACCTTGCCATTACCTCAATCTGGTCTAATTCCAAAACAATTAATTGAAGTATTCTGATCTTTGACCATAAACTACCTATCCTTCCAATTTGCTTACTTATTCCAATGATTACTATTCTTAAATATCATCAAGATCTCTAGGAGGCTGCCTCTCCTTTTCTCAATCAGACCTCACCTTCCTTTATTTTCCAATTTAGACGCCAGTTCCACTGCTTCAATAATGTTCTTTACAATGCCCTAACTCCCCGTCTGTCTTTTATAGATAGGTATCTATAAAACCCTGGCCCTGGATGAACTCAATTACAGTGTCTGTTTTTCCTATGGCCCATGAAGCTGTGGCCTGCTGGAGAAAATCACACAGGATAGGATCGGTTTCACCACAAATTATGGTCATTAATCTCAAATTGACCCCCAACACTCTCCAGCATTTCTACTATATTTTATAGGTACAGGATGGGAGAATATACTCCCCCAAAAATTGCCACTTTGGCCTAAGGATTATTGTGAGCTAAAGGCACTGGAAAAACAGCCGAGGCAAGAAGAGTGATCTGATCTCCCCCTTTCTTCCTGAAAACAGGAGATAAAATTCCCATGTGAAAGATACCTGCCCTATACTGGGAAAAAAGAAACACTCTTAGACAGGGAGTTAAAGCTGAGAGAATTCTGTACAAACAGACCTTGTTAAAATAATTCTTATCTTCCTTTAGTCTCCCTATATTTTTTGGTTACTTTTCCACAATGGCCTCTCTTTGTTCAATCTAGCATAAAAGCACTTGGTTTTGCTACTTCTTTGGGTCTTCATTTCCTTGTGAAAGTTCCTGTGTCACACAGAACTTTTATTAAATGTGTGCTTTTCTCCTGTTAATCTGTATTATGTCAGTTTAATTCTTGGGCCCACCCAAAAGCCATAAGAGAATAGGCAATATTTCTCTCCCATAGTACAAAATGATTAAATTTTTCCCACACTCCTCTAACATAAAACCCTCCTTAGTCTAAGCAGATGACCTTGCTCTCTATCACAGAGAAAACAGAAGCCATCAGACGTGAATTCTTTCAACCTACCCACGTGTAAAAAAACAAACCTAAAAATATTCCTTTTTTCTTCCTACTATAATAAAGGAAGTGACCCTGCTACAAAAGGACAGTCCCTCCTCCCATGACTTAGATGTCATTCCTCTCCCCTCCACAGAGACTTTGCTCCATTGATTATTACCCCTCTCCTCGGCATATTCAGCTTTCCTTGCTCAAGTCTCCTCTAGTTATTGGGTTGGCCAAAAAGTTTAAGGTAAAAATAAAAGACACATTATTCATTTTCACCAAGAACTTCATTGAACAACGAATTCACTGTTTTGTTCCACGACCTTCTGCCATTTTTCAGGCAACTTCATAATTCCATCTTCCCAAAACTTTTTATCTTTTTGAGCAAAGAATTGTTCCAGGTGCCTTTTACAGTCTTCGAGGGAATTAAAATTTTTTCCATTAAGAGAATTTTATAAAGACCGAAATAAATGGAAATCCAAAGGTACAATGTCTGGTAAATATGGCAGATGAATCAGAACTTCCCAGCCAAGCTGTTTTTGTCTGGTCATCAAAGAAACATGTGGTCTTGCATTATCTTGATGGAAGATCATGTGTTTTCTGTTGACTAATTCCGGACACTTTTTGTCAACTGTTGCTTTCAGTTGGTCTAATTGGGAGCAGTACTTGTTGGAATTAATCGTTTGGTTTTCTGGAAGGACCTCATAATAGAGGACTCCCTTCCAATCCCACCATATACACAAGATCACCTTCTTTAGGCGAAGACCAGCCTTTGATGTGGTTGCTGGTGGTTCATTTCCCTTGCCCCATGATCTCCTCCATTCCACATTATTGTACAGTATCCACTTTTCATCGCCTGTCCCAATTTGTTTTAAAAACGTAACATTTTCATTACGTTTAAGTAGAGAATTGCATGCGGAAGTACGGTCAAGAAGGTTTTCTTCGCTTAACTTATGTGGAACCCAAACATCAAAGTGATTCACATAACCAAGCCGATGCAAATGATTTTCAATGCTTGATTTGGATATTTTGAGTATGTCAGCTATCTCCCAAGTGGTATAACGTTGATTGTTGTCAATCAATGTCTCGATTTGATCACTATCAACTTCAACTGGTCTACCCAACCATGGAGCGTCACCCAGCGAGAAATCTCCAGCACAAAACTTCACAAAACACTTTTGACACGTTCAGTCACTCACAGCACCTTCTCCATACACTGCAGAAATCTTTTTTTGCGCTTAGGTTGCGTTTTTACCTTTCTTGAAATAATAAAGCATAATATGCAGAAAATATTGCTTTTTTCTTCCATCGTCAATATTAAAATGGCTATACAAAAATTCACCAATTTTGATAAGTTTTTTAAAAATGCACACTGATTTGAAAGCTGTCACAATACAATCTAATAAAATTGTTTCGAATGAAGTTAAAGACAACCAAGTGCTACTAGAGCCATCTTATTGGAAAAAACCGAACTTTTTGGCCAACCCAATGAAAACATATCATTTTATTAACTGTCCCCTTTCCTCAATCTATACTCCCTAACCCAGTGCAATCTGATTTTTGTACCCATCATTCCATAGAAGCAGCTCTTGCGCAAGTCAATTTTGACATTCATATTGTTAAATTCACTGGACATTTTGCAATTCTCACTTTCCTTGAGCTCTCTGCAGCTTTAGATCAGCTGGTCAAGCCCTGTCTCCTCCCAGAAACACCATTTTCCCTTGGCTTTTGACCTATGACAATCTCTCATTTTCCCAAACTTAAATGACAGAATTCCTCAATGCCCAGATCTTTTTTCTTCTCACTCATTACTCTCTCACTAGGTAATTTCATTGTAAAAGGAACTGTGAGGGCACCAGTGAATTATCGGCTCCAAAGAAATCTAAGCAGGCTGATAGATACAAATTCAGAACCCCTGAAGCTTTTTTCTTCTGTACTTTAAATAAACATTTTTTGAGCAGCACTTTTCTAAAGCAATTAACATTTCATATGCATATTCACCGAGAAGCTAAATGAATAGATTGGGATGTAATTGAAAAGTTGGACAAAATCAAAAGGTATATGGCTTTTCATTTTAAACAATATTTTCACTGTTTCATTTATACTTAAAAACAGAGTTCTGTGAAGAAAATCAGGAAATTGTGAATCAGGGTATCTAGTAAACCTGATTATGGCATACTATACATAAGATAAACTCCACAGTCATATACACATGATCAATAGAAAATTAAACTATTTATTATCATTGGTGTAGGCTGTTTAAAATGAAGATACAGAAGATATGTGTGGCACAGCTTGAGGGGACCTGAAGCTGAGAAGGCTGATGGATTGTTGGAGAATCCAGAGCTAAAAGATGAATAAAGCAGTCAAGATGAACTGTAAAAAGTTTGAAACTCTGGACCTAAACCCAGATAATCAATTCATAACCACTTTGCATATGTGGAGGAGAGGTAGGAAAAGATTTAGTGAATTTCACAAAGTACAGATGTTCAGGTTAACAGCAAGCTCAAGGAAGATTAATGTGAGGTGACTGCAAAAAGGCCTAGTGCTAATGAATGCACAACCCAGGTTAAGAGTCTGACCCAAGGAAAGTTTATTTCCACCTCACGCTGTACCTGTTGGTCCACTTCTAGAATGTTTATAAGGCTTACTGATACAACATAGGGCATATAGGAGGTGAACAAGGTACTGGCGCGGGAAATACAGTGGGAATAAGCCTCAAAGCCATGTCACTGAAGCAAGAATGGGAAAAATCAGCCATACTGAGCCGGCACAAGACTTAAGTTAGGAGACATGATCCTGAAATTGCTGAAAAGCTGTTTTGTGAAAATGGGATTCGTGTAATTAATTACAAATTTCTGCAGAGGGAAGGAATCTGGCTGTCCGGTTTAAGTTGTCACGAGTTTGGTTTCAGCCCCACGTGAGTTAACTTTGTAATGGTGGGTGTGCAGCCCAGTGTGGAAGGAGCCAGCTGCCCGGCTGCACCCTCAGGTAGCAGCGGGGGAGCCGCGCGCCAGCAAGACGGAAGAATGTCCGTACTGGCTGGGGTCTCCAAAAGCAACAGATTGGGCCTCTTTTCTCTTTTATCTTAAAAACTATGGGTTCCACTAAGAGTCACTTACGTGGCAAGTGAGCAGCCTTGTTCCTTTTTTTAAATTGATTATACCGATTACGGATGAACTGGAAGAATACAGATTACGGATGAACTGGAGTCGGTGTCAGCTTCCCACACCGTTTACAAAATGCCCAAATTGCAAAAATGAAGCGCAAAAGGAGGAGACAAGGACCGGGGTCCAAGGGACCCCACCCTATAAGACCAGTCACCTCAGGGCCATTCCCTCTCTAGAGCAAGCAAACTCTGAAATTCCAGCGCTGACCCTCTGCTACCAGCCCCGTGGGCCGCCAGGGCCGGGGGTCAGCGGCCCAGGCCCGCGCTCCCGCCTCCGCTCCGAACGGCGAGTCCGAATGCTGAAGGAAATCCAGCCCCGGCTCTTTCTCCCAGCCCGCCAGGCGCGCGGCCGGGCGAGCGCACCCCAGCTAGGCCTCCCTCCCTCCCAACCTCCCTCCGCGCGTCTCCGCACCCGAGATCACTGCCCTCAGCCCCACCAAGTGACCACCTTGCGCCCCACTCACACCCGTCACGCGAACACCTTGTCTCCCTGAGTTCCAGTCCCGCGAAGCCTCAAGAGCCTGATGGGCCGGGACTCGGACGTGGGGGCGGAGCCTGGAAGGGATTGACTGTGGGGTCGGGATTCCAAACGCCGATTGGTTGAGGGACAGGCCGGGGTAGCTGACTGGACGCAACTGGGCGGGCGTGGAGAAGGGGGAGGTGAAAGGCGCCGGGCACAGGAGAGTAAGGGGGCGGGAGGGAGGTGCGTGGGGATGTGGCCGGGGATTGGCTGTGGTGTCTAGACTCGGGCGTGATGTGCTGTGAGGACAGCCGGGAACCGGGACTGGACTTGGCAGGTGGAGGTGCGGAGCCGGATCAGGGCCTTGCAATAGACGCGGGTCTAGGTGAGGGGTGGAATGGGGCGGAGGCTTGTATATAGCCGGGATTGGGTATGAAGTTGAGGTCTAATTGGATGTATGTGACCTATTGATTTGAGGCGGGTTATAGGACAAAGGATTGATTTGGAAGAAAAAGCAAGCTGTGGGGTCACAGGGCTTAGCTGAGGGGAAGCATGTAGTTTGAACGATGTTAGAAGGTGCCAGAGAGGGCAAGACTAAAGAGAGTGTGCGAAAAGTTTTGTAGATGTATTTATCACCTATGATGGTGGTGAGGGGGGAAAAAAAGGAACTTTACTTTCCTGAACAGTAAAACGAATTCGATCAGAGAACCGGGAATGGAATAGGGTATGAAACTGAGAAGGAAAATAAGTGACACTTTAAACGTGAAGAAGAAAAATTGGCTAAGAGAAAAAGGAACACCAGAAATTACTCCTTTATTGAGGGCAGTGTTAGCCAAAGGAGAGGTTCTGGTAAGAATTAGGTTTCATAAGTAGATTTTCCTTATCTCCTAATTTAAGACAATGAGAGGATAGAAGGAGTTGGGGAACAGTAGCTTGTTATTCAACTGCAGAAGAAAGAACAAAGATAATCTCTGGTTGAAGGAATCTACTCTGCACCTAGGTACTGCGAGATTCAGAAGATTATCAGGTGAATGGAGAGATGCTTGTGTACAATAGGGACAAGTATTTGAGCATGTATTGGGTGATTTGGAGGGGAGGGTTCAAGGAAATGGAGATTCATGCTGTTTTGGGTGCTGTCTGGAAGTGGGGGTGATTATTAGATTGGGCATCATAATACATCTTATGTAGAAGAAGGGAGGAAAATTGCAAGGCTAAGTCTGTAGTTGGTAAAGAAGCAATGGTTTTGCTAACCAGGAGAAGAGGAGGTTTGCTATTTTTGTAGTTTGCAGTGACCTTGTTTTTATTGGAGTTTAAGCAAGTTTATTGAGTGATCTTATCTGTTGTCTCATTTCATCATAACCAGAGAGTGACTGATGTTAGTGTTCTGTCCGATTTTTCTATTTTACAGGGGAACACCAGGGCTAGTTCCTAACAATACCGAAGCCTTAAGGGGAAGTGTCAGTTCAGTTCCTGATGGCAAGTACTGCTTATCTTTTTCTCATATTTAACAAATACGTGAATTGGAAACATAGGTGTGGAGGCTTCTGGGGGAAATGAGGCAGAGAAAGTGAGTGTCTCAAACCTTAAAGAGGAAGAAACAGGCAATAGACAAGTAAGTATATACAATGACTTCAGATGGTGATAAGTGCTATGAAAGAAGCAATGAGGGGTGGAGACTGCAGAGA